CTCCGCGGATGCGTGGACACGGGCCCCACAGCTCCTGCAGAGTCACGGGCTTCCCGGAGGAGCCTTCCCGCAGCCCCCCCAGTTCTTCCATCTGTTGTGTGGTAACAGGCAGACAACTGCTTGGTGACAGGCACTGTGTGCCCATGTCCCATGCCCAGGTTCTTCCAGTACTCCACCTTCCGAGCTGAAGGCAGAGCCATATGCTCTTGGGTGGGTGTGGGGGCTGCTGGTGTGTGGGAGTTCTCAGGAGGGTTCAGTAGTGTCTGTGCTCTGTATGTGTGGACCGGAACTTCTCAAGTCCATCCGTGCCCAGAAGAGGTTGGAGTGGGGAAGGGATCCTAATCCCTTTCAGAAACTCTCCCTTGGGGGGTTCCCTTCTGCCACCCTCCTGGGACTCTACGTTGCTCCCCTGCTCCGAGCAGTCATTGTGCTCGGGATGACCCTGCCACTTGGTCCCCATGGACAGTTCTAATGCCCCATCCCCATCCCTCAGTACCCTGTGCTCCTCAGCTCAGTTCCACAGGAAGCAGGAAGCCCTCAGACTCAGAAAGAGATCCCTGAAGGGTGATGAGTTTCTGACCCTGCTCCTATCTGCACCCTCCCTGCCTGTCCTGATCCTGGCAGGGCCCACCCAAGTTCAAGTCCCTGCCTTCCTGGCGCCCTCAGCTCCTTACCTCTCTGTCCACCCTGCAGAGTTCCTGACTGGCGCTCCTCTAACACAGCCTCTTTGTTTGCAGAGCCTGTGCACCTGGACAGGTGTACATTCCACCAATCAACACCCTCCCTTCCCCCTCCCAGGCTCGAGTTTACCGTGACCACTAAGAATATTCCAGACAAACCAACCAGAACTACCCCAGTCAACAGAGCACGAAGGACACAGCTTCTGAGACGTGAGTAAGGGGTACAGAGTATCCCACATGTGAGAGCTGGACTCTGACTGAGGGCATTCCTGGGGTCAGGGTCTGGGAGTAGGAGCTGATGAACACACAGGGCAGTGAGGGCGGCTCCCTTCTGCTTGTAACTGAGCTTCAGGGTCTGCTGTCTTAGCTGGGCATGGCAAAGAGATGCCAGGTAGAGCTGCAGATGGAGGGTATAGGGGTGCAGGGGAGAGGAGAGGACACAGGGGAGGGGAGTGGGTACAGGGGAGAGGAGAGGACACAGGGGAGGGGAGAGGACACAGGGGAGAGGAGAGGACACAGGGGAGGGGAGTGGGCATAGGGGAGGGGCACAGGAGAGGGGAGAGGGCACAGGAGAGGGGAGGAGACATGGGAGGGGAGGGAAGGGGGAACTGGGGAGGGAAGGGGGAACCGGGGAGGGGGGGAATGGGGAGGGGAGTCTTCATTGATGCTCCCTTCCTGGGAGCTGGACCATTCCGGATCTACTCAGAGCTTCCAAAACCCAGGGAGATGGCCAGTTACCCTGCTTGAAGGAAATGACATCACAGAAATGTGGGGCTTCCTATTCAAGATCACAGAAGCCACCTGCCACATTTGCATGCACCTGTAATGTCACCTACTTGGCAGGCTGAGACAGGAGCATTTCCTGAAGCCTAGAGTTTCAGATCAGTTTGAGCAATATAGCAAGAGGCCATCTCAAAAAACAAAACAAACAAAAAGTTAGAGTAAGCAAAAGGGCCCTTATTTGTTTTATTTTTACTAAGGGGTTGGTGAGAGAACTCGGGAGTTGACGAGGCCTTATGCATCCTAGACCAGTACTCTCTGGCTTAGCTGCACTGCCAGCCCTTAGCTTTCGAGACAGGGTCTCACTATGTAGCTCGGTATGGCCTCAAACCCCAAATTCTCCTGCTTTTGCTTCCTAAGCACTGGGATTACAGGCTTGGGCGCTGAACCCACCAACAGAAAGAATTTTTTAAAGAAATTGCTGTTGGGGGTGTGTGTGGAGAAATGGCTCAGTGGCTAGGAGTGTTTGTTGTTCTTGCAGAGGACCCAAATTCGGTTCCTACAACTGCCTTGTAACTCCAGTTCCAGGGAATCTGACACTCTCTCTCTCTCTCTCTCTCTCTCTCTCTCTCTCTCTCTCTCTCTCTCATACACACACACACACACACACACACACACACACACACACATCCATATAGTTTAAAAGTAATAAATCACTTGTAGCCTGGGCGCACAGTGTGTGTGACGCCTACAACAATGTGTGGTCACACCTGTGTCACACTGATATTGAAGTGAAAGAGGATGAGCCCCCTTTCAGGGGACCCCTGAGGACAGGCCCAGGAGCTTTGCTGAACATGGAGTATGGGAGGATCCTGTGAAATGGAGGCTCCACGGGGTCCAAAAGGTGCAGCTTCTGGAAGCAATAGGCAGAGAGAGGGAGCAAGCACATGATGGCTCACAACCATCTGTGATGAGATCTAGTGTCCTCCTCTGGTCTGCAGGCAGAACATTGTATACATAATAAATAATACATCTTAAAAAACAAAAGTTTGAAGCCGGGCGTTGGTGATTCACGCCTTCAATCCCAGCATTCGGGAGGCAGAGGCAGGCGGATCTCTGTGAGTTCGAGGCCAGCCTGGTCTCCAGAGCGAATACCAGGATAGGCTCCAAAGCTACACAGAGAAACCCTGTCTCGAAAAACCAAATAAATAAATAAATAAATAAATAAATAAATAGGGGAAAGGATGGGGCCTGGAGAGATGATGGCTCAGGGATTCAAACACTTGCTCTTAGTCGGGTAGCGCACTTGAGAGGCAATGGTGTGGAACACTGCACTTTCCCTTCTTTGTTCAAAAAAAATCCCTGCATTTCATAATCCCAGAGAGGGCCATAAAATAACCCCAGGCTCCTGTAAAATCATAAATAAGTTGCATTCTTCTTATTACAAAAGGGAAGGACAAAGAGCACAACCAATCAAATCAAAGCAAAGCCCAACTCTAGAAGTATGAATAGCCCTGTCTGATGTCTCATGGACTCCTGACCTTCTGGACTTCAGGGGCCTTGGGCAGCCGCTTTTCTACGGCCCCACCATCCTCAGCACAAGCAGTTTGTCTTGTAGGCAGATGCCCCATTGTCCTGGAGTCTCAGTATACTTGGGTCCCCCAGGAGGCTTCACCAGTGACCTCTCGTCCTCTCTTCAAGTCTCTGACCCTGCCACATGGTGCCAACCCTCAGCTTCTCTCCATGACCTCTTCAACTCTGGGGTCTCCGTTGCAACCGAAGACACCATTTCTGGCAAGGCCAGAAGGTTCATCAGTGTGTATTCTCACTACCTTTGTCAGAAATCAATTGGCTATGAGTGCAGAGATTCCCTTCTGGGTTCACACAACTGCTTTTATGTTAGAATCACCCTGCCTCAGTTTCTGTAGGTTTTGTTTTGTTGTTGTTTTGTTTTTTGAAACAAAACTTTCTCTGTGTAGCTTTGGAGCCTGTCCTGGCACTCACTCTGGAGACC